CAATTAACACCATGCATGCTTTCAATTCACCGAATCTTTTTTCTCGTAAAAGTGGGTTCTGAGGCAAGAACATGGGACCAACTACTGCGGATACTATGTTTGCGAGTTCATCGCGTACTAAAAAAGAACTCCTGAAGAGATCCTCAAAGTACGTTATATAAATATATTCATATATTCACAATTTCTTTTATTGTTCATATATATATATATATATATGTAATCACGTGACCAACACACATATATATATATTAATACTTTTTCTTTAACTTTTATTGAAGACTCTATGGTTGAAGGAAAAAGTCATATGACGTGACCAACTGAAAGCAATTCAAGAGATCATAGCAGGATTTCTTAATGACCAGGTCTTAAACCCCGCCGATGAGTTCTACAATGACATGAACAAAACATAGAAGCCAAACCAGATGGAGTGAATTGGTTATCCCAAGGACAAGCTTTATTTGTAATATATATATATATACATATTATATGTACATAAAATAACATACAATATATGTATATGCATGTAATATATACATTAGTTTCATACTTTAGTTTGTACAAAATGTTCGAACATTATAAGCGTGTAGAATACGTATATTATTAGCAGCGTAGAATGTGTATTCAAAAACCTATTTGAAAACCAAAACGAATCATCAATTAAAAATAGAAAAAAAAGAAAACCTTTAGTCCCGGTTGATAATACCAACCGGGACTAAAGGGCCGGCTCACATGGCCAGGCCGAGAGGCCTCTTTAGCCCGGGACTAAAGGTCCCGGGCGAGAAACCGGGACTAAAGGAGGGGCCCTTTAGTCCCGGATTCGTGCTCCCGGTTGGAAAACCGGGACTGAAGGGGTTTCCCAACCGGGAGTACAACTTGTTTCTGTACTAGTGCACCCTTCTACAAGTTAATGGACCTATAGTGCAAGGGCTTGGTTTGGTGTGACTAAAGTTTAGTCACCACCTTTTAGTCACTTTTAGTCCCTAGAATACAGACTAAAGTAGTTTAGTCCTTTAGTCTCCAAAGGGTGACTAAAAGGTGATTACACGTTAGTCCAGTGACTGAAGAAACTAAAGAGGGCCTAAATTAAATTCAAAAGATCTGGTCCAACGCCTATATTCATTTCTTATAAAGGCTGCTGTACCGCAACAAATATTCAAGTGTGCCCTCCACCAGTCCACCAGCTGCCGGCCTGGCCATTTCTTTATGCTCCCTGCTCTGCTAGTCGGCCAATAAACTACTAGAGCATGATGCATGATACATGCTCCAAACATACAATATGATGACCCTTTCAAAGATTTAGTACAATGTACAATATATAAATATACACAGAAGAGAAGAGACAAATTGGTGGGTGGTATGCTCGCGAACAAAGTTAACCTTTTTGCTCCCCCTCACATTGGCCGGCACCTCTCTATCATCGTTACATTGTCTATTATCATGTCTCTGTCATGTGACCTACCAAGTAGTATTATACTTTTCCCCGTAAAAAACAGTCCTACCCTAGCACCCAATGGAACTATCTGAAGCTTTTTTATCAAATCTATACAAATATTTATATTATATAAAAAAAACATTAGATTCACATGGAATATATTTTTTATATTGTACTATTAATTATCATAAATATTGCTACCATCTTTGTATTATTGTTAAAACCCCAGTACTCTACGTAGAAAATTAGGGAAAAAACTGAAAACACATATACTCGCACAAAAGCACCGTTGTTTTTGCTCTCAAGAGTACATGCCCGTGTGCATCACCGTTAGATGATCGCTCTCCTACTATACACGCATCCTAGTGCGCTAAAAATTTCCTCGTCTCAAAAGGTAACAACACAAGGCCACGTCGCCGCTCGGTCGAAAAGTAGGGACGTTTCCGCCGATGAGTCATGATGACAACTGACAACGGAGACATACAGAGCCAATTCCAGCAAGCTAAGGCCTTGTTTAGATCCATTAGCTACTAATAGTTAGCTAACTAATAAGTCACAACTAATATTAACTGATATTAGTTAGTTTAGTCCTACTAGTGGAATAGTTGTTAGTTGAGTATTGAGCTAACAATTAGCTAAACTATTAGCTAGACTTTTGGATCTAAAGGAGCTAATTAAGCTGCTAATAATTAGCACCTTGCATCCAACCAGGGCCTATATAAGTTGAGTGCTTTTAGTGAATTATTATTGTTGGGGATAGATATTCAGTGTGCATGGGCGTTAGGTTTTCCTTAGTTTAGGGAAATAGAGCCGGAAATCAAAGCGGGGCCATGCTTAGGGTCTGTTTGGTTCCTGCAGTGCCTCCTAAAATTTCTGTCACATCGAATGTTTGGACATATGTATGGAGTATTAAATATAGACTAATTACGAAACTAATTGCACAACTTACGACTAATTTACGAGACGAATCTTTTAAGACTAATCAGTCCATGATTTGACAACGTTGCGCTACAGTAAACATGTGCTAATGACAGGTTAATTAGGCTTAAAAAATCGTCTCGTAAATTAGTCTCCATCTATGTAATTGGTTTTATAATTAATCTATATTTAATGATCCTTATTAATATCTAAACATTCGATGTGACATGAATTTTAGAAGCAACTAAAGAACCAAACACTCCTCAGTATACAACACCACCCATATATAACCCCGTTACTGCATCGGTTTTTTTTTTCCCGGCCACGCCCGCGCTGCGAACTGATGAGTGTGATGTGATGCTGACCCATGGGCCATGCCATGGACGAGCAAGGCCGATCGATCTGCAACCCATGCAGTGTAGCGAAGCGAAAAGTAGGCGCTCTCGAGCCGTGCAAGCGCATGGCGTGGTGGTCGTGACCCGTGAAGATCTGCACATGCTTGCCTTTAATTTGCCGTCAGCTGCGAAAAGGTATCCTTCGTCGGCAGCCCTACTTGCCGATGACGATTTCAATAGTCTCCTTTCTCTCTCACAGCCAAGCAAAACCGAGAGTACTCGATATTTAAAAAGCTGTAAATAATTTTAGGTTTAACTATATATATGTTAAAAATGCTAATATCCTTTATAACGACTAAGTGTATTCATATTAATTGCTGGCTCAATTAAAGCCTAAAATCAACCCCCCACCCCCACCAAGCTAGTAGTAGGCCGGCGGAGCACTCAACTGCATGTGGTTGTGTCGGGGAACCACCACATGTGGTTGTCAACTTTTCCATCCAGACAAGCAAGGACGAAAAGGCAGCTTTTGGCCTTTACGAGCCCCCGGGAGCCGCGCCGACGACCCGATCCGACCCGGCGGCAAAGTACAAAGACGCCCTCACATCCACCATGTGCCTCTCCATCACGTGCCACCGATAGCGATTGGGTCGGGGAACCACCGACCAAAGGCTGTGTTTAGTTAAAAAGATTCCTCAAAAGTCATCGAATCTTGCGATACGTGTATGGAGCATTAAATATAGACGAAAAAAACTAATTACATAGTTTGGTTGGAAATCACGAAACGAACGTTTTAAGCTTAATTAGTCCATAATTAAACACTAATTGCAAAATAAAAACAAAAATACTACCGTAGCTAAATTCCCAAATTTCGTGAAACTAAACACAGCCAAACTTCCCCGTGCTTGTGTTGCTCGCATGACAGTCCAGGCCAGGCATCATCACCTTTTTGGCACGCTGGGCGCTCACTGCTCAGCATATATATAGGAGTATTTATATTACTATATATCCATGTTCATGAAACGTACCGTACTCCCTCCGTCCCATTGAAGGTGTGGTTTTTTACTTCTAAACTTCTTCTTTGACTGTTCTTTTTATTCAAAATTTTTGTATAAATATTACTTATTTTATCATTAAAGATATTTTAATAGTAATTTATTTATTTTATTATTTGCATAAAAAATTTGAATAAAACGAATGGTCAAATAAGAGGTCTAAAAGTAATAAAAAAAACAAGGACGGAGTGAGTATTTTTAGAAAGGTCTATGAGAAGAGAACGAAACTGTTCCTGATGAAACACATATGTAGGCCCTGTTTGGATCAGATTCAGATTCTTAAAACCAGTTCTTATTCCTAGTTTATAAAATCTGGATTCTGAGCAAAGACTAGTGTGGGTGTTTGGATCCCCTAGTTTATACTTGATTTATTGTTCTTTGGTCATAAGAAACTGACAAAAGCTGAGTATCAATCACTTGTTGGTTTTTAAGAATCTAGCAAAAACTGGCACTAAGAAACTGGGCAAAAACTAGACGATCCCACCAAGTTTTCAAAATCTAAATTCTTAAAAATTGAAGCATCCAAACAAGGCCATAGAACACGACTGTTTCTAAAACTGCGAGTGTGACCATGTCTCACTTCCCTGGCTGCTAAGCACAAAACCATGTGCCCACTAGTTTTTTATTACGGTTATTACGACCAGACGACCGTGACGGATTGCATACACGCTGCTTCGGGCGACGATCGTGCCAACCGCTGGTCCAGCTGGCCTCTGACGCTTTCTTTACATTTTATTTTGTTTCGGCCCAGCCCACCTTCTCTCCCCTCCCATCGCCTGCGGCAAGTACTACAGCCCGGCCCAGGTTCGCCAAAAGAGAGAAACAGAGAGTTCCATGGGCCTGCTCTAGGTCCACAAAACGGGCTGCGCGTGGCCCGTGCGCGCTTCCAAACGCATGTGTCCGGCAAAGAACGACGCTGTCCGTAGGCAGACTCACCACCGGCCACGGCCAGTCACCACAGCTGCTGCCTGCTGCCTGCTGCCATGAACACATCATCGGGCGAACCGATGCGTCCCGGGCTCCAGAAACACACAACAGCACAGCCATCTAGTAGGATTGATCCATCGAGGCTCTCCACGCGTTTCCACCGGACAACGGGCAAGCAACAAAAGGAAAAGGAAAAGTTCAGACATGATTGATTGATGATGCTAATACTCCGTACAGTGCCGTACTGATCAATGCTGTTGTGTTGGTGTTCTCGTGGGAAGGGAAGGGAACGAGCTGCTGGACTGGGCTGAATCTCTCTCGCTCCGTCTACATCTACTGCCCCGGCGCCGGAGTCCGGAGGGACGAGAGGACGACGTCCTGGAGGGCGCTGTCCTTCTGCATGGCCGCCTTGAACTCGTCGAAGCTCACCTTGCCGTCGCCGTTGGCGTCCATCTCGTCGAACACCTCGTCCAGCTTCCCGGGCTCCGTGATGTCGCCCGGCAGGCACTCCTCGGGCAGCGCCTGCGACCACAGTAATACCAGGCAAACTCATGACAACATATACCACCATATCATACAGACAGGAAGGACGGGCAGCTTGTTAGCTCTCTTACTCGCAGCATCGACGCCAGCTCGTCCTTGCTGATGCACCCCGACCGATCGGCGTCGTACATCTGACACGTCATTTTTTTCAGTCCATTCAGTAAGTATGTCAGTCGCGCGCGAGAGAGGGAGGGAGGGGACTGCTATGAGTCAGAATGACAGGGACCATCGATTCTCGTCACCTGGAAGCAGAGCCGGAGCGCGTCGTCGCCGCGGGAGTTGCGGAGGCTGGAGAGCCCGCAGAGGATCTCCCTCATGTCCACCGTGCCGTCGCGGTTGTTGTCGAACAGGTCGAACACGCGCGGCGCCAGAGGGACCAGCGACTCCAGCTTCATCGCCTTCAGCACCTGCTCGAACTCCGCCAGCGTCGCGTTCTCGCCGTCCGCGCATCTGCATATGCACCACCCGATCCACGACCATCTCATTGTTAGTCACAGCACTCAGCATATCATATCATATCAGGTGTCCTTTTTTTTTCAGTGAAAAGGTTTCAGAACTAACTATGTGAAGATTTCATTTTTGCCAGCAACAACTGCTTGTTGCTGTATAATGAAATTTCTCCGGCAAATGAAGGAAACAATAATGCACACTATCATGTTTTCATGCTACAGCTTCTGAGATCTGAGTGATCATGAACATGGATATAAGGCACATTTTGAACAGCTTACAGTCTTACGCCAACCCATCTTACTGCTAAATAAGAATGCTAGAATCAAAACTCGAATACCAAACCAAGTACAAAGTAAGGGGTCAAATTCCTCATATACTGACATTCGTGCAAAACTCGAGAATGCACACTATCATGTTTATAATGCTACAGCTTCTGAATGATCATAACTCCATGTAGATAGGTCAAGGACACGCCAAACATAAACATCATGATTAGCAATTACTATGCACTTCTCTCACGAAGTACAGGTAATTCTATGCTTAAAATCAATTCCGGAGAATATGGATCTAGACACATTTTAAACAGTTTATAATCTTCAGTTCAACCTCATGTTATTGCTAAATGAGTGCTAGAATCAAAACTCGAGTACCAAACAAATTCCTTATATACTCACATTTGTGCAAAATGAGCCCATGCAGATTGTCTAGCTCCTCTGAGCTCAGGTCATGTGTTCCCAAAAAGGTTCCTCAGCCTTTTTGTCCTCAAAGCCACCTTGCTGCTGAGGACGCTTGCGATTGCCGCTGCCCGCAGCTTCCTTCTAGCATTGAACCTCTTCAGCTTTGATATGACCTCTGCGTCCATGAGGTCTTGCTTTGCCCAGTCTCCAATCACCCAAGGATGCCCCAGAAGCTGGTCCAAATGATGCAAGACAAGGTCCACGACTTTAATAAGCACAGTTATATGTAATTCGGATTGGCCAATATGGCAATATGGATGGAAGAAAAAAAGAAGCAGCATGGGACAGACATCACTTGCTGTTGGCCTCTTGTAAGGCTCAACAGAAAGAAGCCTGGAAATCAATTCTTTGGCTGATGAAGATATTGTTTTCCATGCATGGTCCTGGAAACTGAATTCTCCCTGAAAGGAGAATGAAGAGCACACATCATTAGAGCAAAACCTCCAGATTTAGGGAGGAGAGCAACTTAAGACAAGTGATGCCATCTTTGTTGAAACATGTAAGCAGTTAAGAGTACACCATCATGTAATCCAAAGACAATCTAGATTTTTGAAACCTCACTTCTTCAAGAAAATGGTTCGGTTCCTTTTTGAGAGGTTGGGTTGCCTTATTCTGATCTTATGTCCATATTAACTTACCTTTTTGTATTTCCCTGAGCGATTTGATTGGACATAGCAAGGTATCAAGAACAATTTGTACACCCAAGCCAACAGGAAGGTCTGTTTAGGTGCTAGTACTTTGACACCTCTAGAGAAATTGGCCTTTAAAACAGAATGACAGATAGGACAGATCAAATATGACTGCCAACAGCTACCAGAAGGAGGCAGTTCTTCAGTATTGATTGAGAGGCCTGCTTCCATGCTATGAAACGATTGCTCCAAAATCTTACCTAGGCCCACCTAGGTTCTCTTCTTTTTAAATGTAATTTAGGTTGGAAGAGCATATATCATTAATACCATAAGTGAATGGAAATCTAAACTGCGCTACATTCATGACTATGACATATGGTATGTGCTATCAAATGATTATAGTTTTGTTAACAAATACAAAGGTATTTTCATAGAATTTAATTTGGCTTCCATTTACACTACAAGTGAACCAATGTGTTACTTATGTCAGATCAGGTCGTAAAGGAATGCTCAAACTGTGAACACATGAAACATGAAAAGGCAGGATAATTCTGAACAACTATGAACTCAAATGGAGCAACATGATGTCCAGAGACTAGCCACAGTAAGACTTACTTGCAGTATCCTTTGCTGCTTTTCTCGATTAGTTGGTGCATGAAATGGCGGGCATCTGTAATCACACCAAGTGAAATTCATCAGGATATAAACAGGAAATCAAACCAGGAGAGAATCACAAGGAAGGTTGATCAAACATACCCAGATAACAGAATATATAGAATTACCCCAACGGACCACATATCACTTGAAGCTGAAACATCTTGCCTTGAGAGAGCTTCTGGCGAAACATAATCTATCGGCCGAACAGAGTCACAATTGGGTCGCTGAAATCTTCGACAGAACTTAGACCAAAATCCATGATTTTCAACGTGGAATCTTCATTCTTGTCAGAGAAGAGGCAGTTCTCTGGCTTCAAGTCCCTATGTATGATGATGTTTGCCTTATGAAGAGCCTCCAACCCCTTAGCAATCTGACGAATAACAGCTGCTGCATCGAACTCCAGTACCGGTCACGCCCACTATCCTATCAAACAGTTCACCACCAGAGCACAGCTCCAGGATCAGGTGCACACCATGCGCATCCTCGTACACATCATGCAGGCCTATGACGTTGGGATGTGGCGCGACGTTCTCAACTATCCTCCTCATGGCGAGAACCTCGTTGGTGAGCAAGGCGTCAGAGATGGATACCTGCTTCCACATCGGAAGGCCACCTTTGACCCTTGCTGAATCCCGTTCATGGCCGGGCCAAGCCTTCGCAAGGTCTTTATGGCGACCTGGGTCTTCCCCTCCGATTTGCTCACTCCCTCCTCACTATCGAGAACCCGCCGGCCAAGGACATCCACAACTTCATAGTCATCGGACAGCTTTCTGCTCTCAGTCTTGGACATTGCCTGGCAAGTTTATGCAAGGAACTGAATACTGGTATCAGATGCTGATTGGGAGGCCACAAGAACTGGTAGTGAGGCAGTAAACAATCAGGGTGTTTGTACAAGAAAAAACTAGAGCAGTAAGTGCAGGATGAACAGAAAAGAGAGCATGTGTTTCGATGGAACAAGAAGGAAGATTGGGAAACAAAAGGGCAGAAACTGGGAGCAGTATAGTAGTTGGGAGCAGAAAGGGACGTACAATATATTGTATAAGTAGCTTGTGTATGATAAATGTAGGGAGCAAACTCAGAGAGTAGAGGGTATATAAATAGAGTAATGTGGGGGTGCTGAACACGGTGATGGCAGAAGAAAGTGACATGTGCAACAACCAACACAATGGAATAAACCCATTGAGGATTTGTTTTGTGCTGATGGCAAGATGACAAGAATTTTATAACTAGGCGTTTAGAAGTGGACAGGCTACAAAGGTTATTGTTGACCTGGTTGCTGTTGCTCAATGGCTGCTTTGAATTGGTCTTCACTCGGCAAGGCTAAACTTTGTCGGTTTCATGCTTTGAAACAGAGATGTATAAGGATGAAAGAAAACACCATGCCTATACTTATTGTTTGAAGAAACAACGCCATGTTTTTTATACTTGTGTTAAAAGAATTGAAGCAGCACCAGCATACCTGACCAGGAAGAAGAAGATCAGCAGGCCGAAACTGGAGCAGGTCGTCGTCAAGGTCTGCTTCTACCGCGCATGCTGGTGGGCGAGCTGGCCTAATGCAGAACGGAAATGCAAAGTGAGGGAGCTGTACCTCAGACGAACAAGAGGAAGACGAAAAGGATTGCAGAGGGATGCTAGATATACCTCGGCTTGTGTCTTTCCTCGTCTCTCTTCTCAGGTATGTTTAAGGGATGGATGCTTTGTTAATGAAAGAATGGGTGGCTGCCTCACTAGTCTACGTAGAGACACACACAGGTCGCTCTCAATGTCCCAGAATTGATTTTAATTTACACAAACCTGGACGCGGTATATACAACATTACAAATCACTCATCCCATTCAGCTCACATGCATACAAAACTGTTTGTACATTACTTCAGCCTCGCGTTGTTACAACCCAGTTCAGGTTTCTTACAAAGTCACAATGCAACTGTGGCCTCAAATTACAAGCATACAAAGTAACCATGCTAAAAGGAAAACAACAGCAGGGACACTCGCCTCTAGTCGGTGGTTAGCTTGAAAATGCCAGAAGATAGCTGTTGTGTATGGTTTTAGTCCGGTAGGGCAGTACCTCTTCGAGGTTGTTCTTGATCTCGGCGTGTACTTGCCAAAGGCGCTTCAATCTTCTTGTTGAAGTGCTCATTCCGTCGTTGATCGAGTCAATATCCTTGTCTTCGTTGAACTTGCGCCCTGCTGAATGATTTCCGCTTCTTCCCGCTCCCTTGAGTTCCTTGACCATTTTGTCAATGTTTTCTTCTAGCACATTGGACACCTGTGCAAGGCAAAACACTACAACGGTCAGTTGACTTGTTTCCACAAGGACATTCAACGATTTGTTGATGTGATGCGATGGCACCATGGCAGCAATACCTTCCCATACTGGAGACTTGAGGCGTCCGGTAGAATTCAGGGTCATCTTCCTTGGCTTTATTGTAAACCTCCATGTAAAACTTCTATATTCTTGGTCCTCTTTTGTAAGCATCATACAAGGTCTTTTGATTGAAAACTGAAAGTATAACCACGATTTCTCAGATGCAACTCAAACACCCAAATGATAAAGGTGCATTTGGACTTCAAGACAAATGGAAAAAATGGAACAGCACCAATCATAGCATTTGACATGAAAAGGCATAGAAGACATTCCTATGGCAACAATTGTATGATTTAACACTGTAGTTGCTATGGCAACTGAATATAGATTATTATGTAGCAAGACATGTTTGCAATCTATACATAGTAGCAAATATAATAGCAAATTTTACCCATTGTACATAACACAGAGATATCTCCCAGACATTCCCAACCTAGTATACTTCTCTGGTTTATACTATAAACACAGGATGGACTGAGATAGTTATTCAATAAGCTTTGCCAAGAAAGTACTATATTAACTCCCCATAATAAAGTTACGCTCCACAGGATTTACTTCTTTCTCTTCGATATGTTCTTATAACATGAATAACAGAAAGTACTATAACACCAAGTCTGATGCTGTCACAAGCCAACCATGAATAACATTGCACCCTGAATCCTAATGCGAATGGGTAGAAACTCAACAAAGACTAAGCAAAACGCAACAGAGAAGTCATCCAGTAAACATCACCAATGTGGAGCATTTTCAGTTATCTCAACAAAACAATGTTTTGTACCAGTCAGACATCTGTGGACGTTAGAGGAGTGAGCTCACTCACCATCCCACCCATATGGAGCAGGTACCTTCTCCCATTTCTTGTACTCTGGCCTCTGCCGTCTCCCCTGCGATCGAGCATGTGCGCCTTGGACATATCAAGGCCATTTGAGTCCAGCAGCTTCCCGATCTTCTTCTTCCTGTCGTTCAGCCACTTCTGCTTAGAAACACCTCGGCTCGGCCATGAGGCTCCATCCTTTTCTTCTCAGCAACCATTGCACTGCTGATTTGCCTTCCGCGCTTCATTCTGCGGAACGTCAGACATCAAAGAAACGAATGAATTAATATACCAAACAGCGTGGCAACAGCCCGGATGCAAAAAGTAGGTAAATGACGTGAAATCACCATCTTAAGCCGCAACTCGAACAGCTTCTTCTGTTTTTCCGTCATCTGCGGGTAACCATCGTCCGCGGCTTTGCCCTCCTGTTCGTCGGCATCGTTATCTTCAGGTCGCTGCTGCTCCGCTGCATCGGACGTGCCGGCAGTGGTGGCCACATCAGCTGGTGGCTGTCCCTCCCCACGCTCGAGCCCTAACGAAGTCAACCAAGCACACGGTAAGCAGCCAGGAGCGCTCAGATTTTTAACTAAGCAATCAAATAGAAGGGCCTCACGACGAATCGAATTAACGTGAAGGAATCACCCGGACGCACCGGATTTGGCGTCGGCGATGCGCCTGAAGCAGTAGTCGGAGCACTCGTGGTAGGGGTTGAGGCGTTGATGCAGTCCGGGTGGACGGTGCGTTGCTCGGGCGGGCGCTTCCACGAGTCAGGGAGCTCGTCGTCGAGGCGCTGCCTGGCCTCGGCGATCTTGGTGGAGGCAGTAGTCGGAGCACTCGTGGTATGGATTGGACGAGTTGATGCACTCCGGCCGCGATTTACTCCCCTCCGCCGCCGGCCCAGCCACCACGCCCTCCCTCCCCATCGACGAGCTCGGATCCGGACGGAACCCTAGGTTAGCCTCGGATCGATTCCGTCTGGGATGTTGGCTCGCTCGGGCTGGGATTGGGAAGGGGGAGACGAAGACGACAGCCGACGGGACGGCGGCGAGTCCGTCTGGGGATGAAAGTGGCACAGGCCTGCCTGCGCGCCCTCTCGGCCCGCTCCGCAAAAACAGCGTTGAGTGGGCTCAAGTGGCAGCCTCCAATCAAATCTTGTCGCGGGCTTTGAAGTACATTGATGTAGCCGCAAGGCCCACTGGACACCAGCAGAGGCCCGCTTCTGTCCGCCAAAAGTCCAAAACCGGCGGTCGCCCGCAGTGCTCGCGCCTCGCTCACATCACCACATCCGCGACGCTGCAGCGGAACGCCTCGCCGCCTCCGGCGACAACTGGCGACAGGCTCCGTCGACGGACCTAACTCCTCTTCCTTCTTCGCCACCTCGGCTGCAGCTCCGTCGACAGATCCACCGGCTGCCTCAACACCTCCTCCGACATCAAACCCTAATCTGGGCTGGCGGGTCTGACACTTCAGCACCGTCGCCTACCCTAGGTACTCTCCGTCCAATCCCCATCCCATTTTGTGAATCAAGTTCGCTATGACAAATTTAGGACTTGGAGATCGAGATTCTTGATTCTTGTTGTGTTAGATTAAAGAAAGGAAGCGATTGCTTTGCACTCTAAATAAAACAGATATCCTGGGTAGACGACCCTTAGAGATGAAATCATATTTGAGCTTCTGGAGGCCGATCAGATATCTTCATTTCGCATGTCATACTTTAGATACCGTAGCCAAGTCCATAAATGGAACTGGGATATCCTGAAGACATCTTCGTTACTGTTAAAAAATTTAGCAAGGATGTGTGCACATGAATTGCTGTATAAGCAAAGACGTAAAGTATTGCTTGTAGTTTTGAACTGTAGTTATTTCCCCCATCTGTGTGAGCTCTACGCATTTCCCTATGTTTCATCAATCAGCCTGTAGGATGGATCAGCACTCCTGTTACTTACGTTTCACTGACAAGGTCATTAATGCATCCAGCAGTATTTTATTATTTCTTCATGGTTGTAGGTTCACTGAGAAGGTCATTAGTGTATCCCTGAGTTTGTAACCTTATATTAAGATTGAGATTAGGGAGTTTGGAATAATTTTGCACTCCTAGCACAAAACATAGAACAACAATGAGCAATTAAAAGCTTATATGGATCTTGACCCCTTCAGAAATAAGCTTTTGAATCTGGCCCCTAGCACAAAACAAACAGAACAACATAAACTTATATAGATCTGGACTCCTTCAGAAATAATTTTGCAATCCTTCAGTTGGTGTCTCTGCTTCATTTCTTATTTGGTTTGTTTATTTTTTCTGTACTTGAATCACTGCAGAGAGTTCAGGAATTCTGTGCCTAGATTCTTAAATCTGAATAAACAAGCTGAATATGTTTACTGCAATGCAAACATATAAGTAGTCAGCTGCCACCTATTTCCATGCACCGTCTGGCTCGACACTGCCAAGGTCAAGTCACTGTGCTGCACTGCTGCATCACCTGCCCTTCTCGTGATATCTGATTACTGCTTTGCACTGAGTGCTAGCTACCAATGTTGTTCAGAGATTAGTAGTTTGCCATTTGGTCCTCTTAATAGGTTTGGTTTATTTATTTGTTTACATCAGATGGATATATGCTCATATGATTTAGAGGATCCACTGTGAGCAGCTTACACATTTGTCTTTCTCCATGGTTTTCCTTTTTTTAGTGTTCATCTATTAATAAGTTTGGAGACTGGATTATTTTTACGTTTAGGATAAACTTTGTACTGGACCAGAGCATCTTATCTCTGCATATGGTGCCTTAAGGGATATCAATAAACAAATTTTGAACACCTTTGGTTTCTCGGATAAACTCAAAGCAAATGCTTGAGCAGGTTTGGTCAGTTTCACTAGGAACTGTTCACTACTTGACTGTCTCAGTAATGCAAGTGGGTAGCTTGCAAATCATTTGGCAGATTACTTTCTTCGACATAGTTTCTTTAGCTGAATTATTTTGCACATATATTGGATGTACACTACCCATGTTATTCAATATCCCACATTAATGTCTCCGAACTGAGTGATGACTGATGACAATTACCAGTCATTGTTTCTTGATTTGTCAACAGCTTGGCCTCTGGTCAATACATTTCCATTTTGCCCCTACCTTGATGTGTAGTGTCATTTTCTCATGCATACCTTCTAGATGATTGACTTTTTACATTGCCTTCCCCAGTCCCCACACCCCACCCCCTGATTATTTTCTATCTTGGAAAATGGGATTTAGACAATAAGATGTTGCTTGATTTGCCCATTTCTTAAAAGTATTGAACGGTCTTTCATCTGGATGCAGGAGCTCTGCAGTTAAAGGAAGTGTATAGTCACCATGGTTCATTTCAAGAATAGAATTTTGTGGTGGTGGAGGTCTTATAGATGCAGCTAGAGGTGAACAGGACCCTGTAATCCTCCACCCAATTTAATATAACAAAAGTTATAAGAGACAACATTCAGCTCAACTTTGGGAGTGTGGCCTAGCTGGATCTTGGATCATTGCAAGGTACTACTAGCAATTACTTCTGAAACCTTTTAAATCTTATATCAGTGTTTGCTGCACTGTGTTTATTACTAGCTTCTTAATATAAAAGTACTTATAAGCTCTGCAAATTTTCAGTCTGTAGTATGTTAATCCTGTAACATAGCTTTGCATTGTCCGTGGTCTCAATGTGGAAGAATACCTCCGTAGAAAGTTTAGCTGCTATGACAATGGTGAGGTGCATTGGGGGAAGATCCTGTTTCATCTTAGCTTGCTGGAGCATAGGTGGTAAGTGGCTCTCAGACTCTGGCTGACAATACAAAAACTAATCTTGTTAAGTGCTGCCTTTTTACTTAGTTGCTTTCCAACAGATCTGGCACTTGATTTGGTGCACTCTGGACCTTCCAAAAGCAACCTAATATTTCTGTGATTTGATTTGTCTCTTCTAACTTAGAGTAAGAATTTGACTTGTAGGATTTTTGATTTTAGAAAAGGATTCATTATGCCCATCTCCACATCACTGTCCAGTGTTCACAAGGTTGAATAATCTTCTCTGTGGGGTTGTTTTTGCTCTTTAAGTTTGAGTAATTCTCTAAGCTTTCAGTGCAACATTTTTGCCATCTCTGATGAAGGAATATAGGAGCTACAGCTTATAGAAAGTTATGGGTTTGTCAGAATTTCATTCTGTTTTCCCCTCATATATTGTTGACCTTTTGGAACTTACATTTCTCCTTCCAGAACTCAAAATATAATGCTCTCTCTCAGTTCTTTCAGTTATTTTCCTGCTTAAAGATATTACTGTGTGTCAATTAGGGATGGCCAACTTCATAGTAAACCCATGTATCTATACATCTAGATATATGTCTTATTTCTGGAAATGAGGAAGTAAGCACCATTACTATGTTTGGTAGCTTACCCAATTTGTAGTCCTTAAGAAAAGGAGCCCACTTCTTTTTATTGCCCAACTGCCACAAGTTTTAGCTCATAAATCATCATTGCATTCACACTTTTTCAGGAAGCATCAGGGCTTGCAAGAAAGCTACAGGCACTGGATGGACAGCCAAATTTGAACGACAATACAAGGTGAGTTGTCTGGCGATCGATTATCCTGGCCAGTAGATCATCCAAATTGTGAGAGAGTTGCTTTGAGAAGATTATTAGAGGGACTAGAGAGCTATAGCAAAAGAAAATATCTATCTCACATTTTTGTTTCTGCTCTCTCTCTCATTCCCTTAAATGAAATAGAAATGATGAAATAATTGTTTTAATATTCAAAATATCTAGCATTGAGCGCACACCTTATATGGTCTGAAGAGGAACTTCTGTATATATATGTATGGATGATATTTTATATTCAATTGGCCCCCGTATGAAGGGGAAAGGAGGTGTTTATTCTTCCGTCTGCGTATTTTGTTTCCAATACACTTGAGGAGTTTCATTTGTTCTTTTACTAGATTTAGTTTTAATCATGGGAGACTATTAGGGGCCGCTTAATTGAAGGTAGGAGAAAGACCGGCCAGCCGGCTACTCCCTCTTCTCAATTTCATCGCTACCGGCTGACAGCCGAATAAGATTTTCTCGGGTATGACAATAGGCCGGATAATGTTGTTTTGGCTTCTTTTCTGTAGCCGGTGACAACAGATCCTATAAAACAGGGTTGAGGTGACCATGCATGTCGTCATGCCTCGTAGAACCGTGCTGCTGCAAAACAAAACAATGCTGAGGGTGGCGCTCGTCGATCATCACGGCTTAGCCCCCAATTTCGGGTTACATGGATGATAATTTAGGAAAGACGCCATGCTCATATCCATTTATTGTATGTCATTGTACATGAACATCTCTTCACATCCACCACAAGCCAAACCTAGTTCTATGTATGCCCCCTTGCAAGGCTTCCTCACCATTTAGCTCTGCATCATAACCACATTGCATAATTAAGTATGGTTATGAGCAAACCAGTTATCCAGGCCATATTGTAAATTTTATACATGATATTAAAAAACAAAAACAATTTTTCTCCCGCTTCACTCTCTCATCTCTGCCCATCGTCCTGTTTCAATCTCTCGAGTCAATTTTCTTAAAGTCACAACAATTGTACATACCCCAAAGTTGAGTCAATCTCCTCTTGATTTTTCTATAATGGAATTAATCATTCATTGCACTAACCTTTATTGTGGGTCTTGAATTTTATTTGATGTAGTTTGGTTATGCCTAATTAAATCCAACATAAATAGCTACCTCATTGTCATTAACATGAGACAATACCTCCTTATGTTGCGATTAAAAGCACTCTGTTACAACAATTAATAAATGAGAAGAATGGTTGATTAGTTCCTGTGAGGAATTTCTCTAGGAATATGGATAAAGGAAGGAAAGAATAATGTATTAGTTTTTATCATTTGTCCTATTCTTCTTTCCTCAGGAAAGGGAACGCTTTAAAAGGAATAAAAGAATAAAGAGTTCCTCGATGGCCATTTCCTTAGCATGTGAATGGCGAGAAGCTCAAGATCATTTCCACCAATTTCAAATCCTGATTTTTTAATGAGAAGAAGGTCTAATGACTTAGATTCTCTTGTTACTAACCATATCATATTATACTTTAGTGTGTTCCAATAAATTGTACGTCGTATATTGCAACATGTGTAATGATGTCTATTAGACACATTGGTCTTTCTTCCTTGTCATACCACGGAGACTCAAGTCTTATCCCCATCTAAATCTTAAACTGTCGATTAGAGTACTTCTACGGACTGTTTTTTTCCCCAACACGTGCAAAGCTTTAGAATATAGGTAAGCGGCTATAGGGAGACGAATTTAAGAAAGAAAGAAGACCATAGGAGCGGCGCTGACTCGCCTTTCTTTGCTCGTCCTGATGCCTTGCAGTACGGTATCACGCGTGTCCGTGTGACGTGAACACAATGAATTCTGTTCGCTGAGCTTATTTCCAAATTTCAGCCCAAACCACCAAATGTACCAACAATACTTTCCTCCCATATACACCAACATCAGCCACCAAACGCTGACCAGCACCGATCAGCGAACAGGCCCCAAAGCGATGACGCAACTGTATGCCCAGCCGGCTGGCCGTCGATTGCCGTGCGCAAGTGCAACCACCACCTGCAGCCGTGTCCGTGGTCAGCGGTCCGCTCTGGTCCGTGGTCCGTGGACCTCTCCCACTCCAAACCTGCTGGGTTCTGACCCTGCACCGCATGATCGTCAATTCAGGTCGCAGATCACGTCAATAACACACGTTGCGCGTGCGCGTCTGGACAGATTCCTCGATCCACGCCCAGGCAAAAGCCAGGCACCACCCATCTCGCCAGCCATCTCCTTTCGTCTTCGTGAAAACCAAAGAACGGGAGGCCTTCTGAAATGGACAGCTCAAGTCCTCTTCTCCAGAGTTCACACCAAACCCCCCATGGCAGGCTGACTTTTGTCTGCCAACTGACATGTTAGCACCACCACATGACACCTGTCTGCAACTGCGCAACGCCATGGATTCTGGTTCTAGAAGCACCTGGTTCCAACTTCCAAATTAGAAAGAGCAGCCAGAGCCTGGCTTCTCCGGCTGCAAGGGGGGCGGCCATCTCAGTCCTCCCATGATGAGCCTTCCTGCCCATGTATACCCATGTTCGTTCGTCCATCAGTGATGACCGACGGACTGACAGACTTGCCGACGGGAGGCGAAAATAAATGGCCACAAACGCTTGGTTTGCATAGCGTGACTTCACCTAACAAAACACCGCCCAGCCGGCGATTAAGAACATTTTCACACTGTTTCCCTTTTCTTGGCACCTCCTCCTGTTTTCCTCGAATAGTCAATACCAAGACATCGAGTGAAAACCGAAAAACCGCCTTTCATTTTGGTGCTCCAGATCAGGAGGGTTCTCAATCTACACAAGTGAAGGAAAAGAAAAAGAACAGCAAATACTCCAGATGCTTTATTTGTACAGCCTTCATCAGAGAAAACACATTACAATGGAACTATACTATATG